TTCCTTGTTATTTCCTTCCTTTCATAACTAAACTCTAGAAAACTTGACTTCATGTCTTGTTTGCATTTTCTCTCCATCAATTCTTCTTTCACCTACTGCTTTGTATTACTTTCACTGAAAAATTACCTCTCTGGTCATGACCAATGACCATCACAGACAAATAAAATATATCTCCTTAATTTTCATCTTCTTTAGTCATTCTGCTGCACCTGTCACAGTTGATTAGATCCACATTCTTGAAATTCTTTCTACTTTGGCTTTCATAACACTCTTTTTCTCCCACCTCACTGACCATTCTTCTCTTTTAATGAAGCCTCTTGCACAGATTGGCTTTAAGCGCTGTCTTTGGCCTTTACATTTCACACTTTATCCTTACTCTGTGGAGAATGCATTCACTCTCAGGTTCAACTACCACCCTCCAGCTAAAGATTCTAAATCTGCATTCCAGCTGTGACCTTCCTCTTGGTTTTTTTGTTTTGTTTTGGTTTGTTTTCGGTCCTAGTCATTTGCTATCTGGACATCCATTTAAAGATGTTGCTATCAGTTTGAAATTTAACTTGTCAAGTAAATACACATCTGATGAACCCAATGAACCCAAACATAGACTTGCAAGACATGGTCTGTATGAGAAGAAAAAGACCTCAAGAAAACAGCGAAAAGAACGCAAGAACAGAATGAAGAAAGTCATTTGAATGAAGTCAATGAAGAAAAAGGTCTTTTTCTTCTCATACAGACCATGTCTTGCAAGTCTATGTTTGGGTGCCTCGCTAGCTCAGTTGGTAGAACATGTGACTCTTGATCTTGGGGTGGTGAGTTTGAGTACCAAGTTGGGCGTAGAGCTCATTAAAAAAATAATAAATACATACATACATATATACACACACATCTTTTCTAACATGATGGTGCCTCCTCTCAATGTCTTCATTTCCTTTTTTTTTTTTTTTTTAAGGTTTATGTAAGAGAGAGAGTATGTGCGCATGTGCGCACATCAGCGGGTGGGGGGGTGGGAGGCAGCAAGAGAGGAGAGAATCTCAGGCAAGATTCTCTGAGCACAGAACCTGATGTGGGGGTGATCCCACAACCCAGAAGATCATGACCTGAGCCAAAATCGAGAGTGGGATGCCCAACCAGTTGAGCCACCTCAACATTCTCATTTCTGTCATTCTGTTAATGGTACCATTTGCTGACCCTCAGGTTGATCTTGAAGTTGTCTTTGCCAGTATTTCTGTGCCCATATTTATTAAATAAAAAAATAGTATCAGGTTTTCCATCAGAATGTTGAACCTTCATATCCACAACCCTCATTCTCAATTCACTTCCGGATTAAGGAGTCTCCTAATACTATCTAACCCTTCCACTTTGGGTGTCTAAGACAGGGGTCAGCAAATTACCATCCATAGGCTAAGTCTGGTCTGCCATCTGTTTTTGTACGGCCCATGACCTAAGAATGGCTTTTATATTTTTTAATGTAAGTGTTAAATATAATATCTTATGACATTTCTATGTTTATAAATAGATTTTATTGGAACACAGTCATTGTTTATATATTGTCATGCTTATGTATTGTCCATGGCTGCATTGTGCCACAATGGCAGAGTTGAGTAGTTATGACAGCAACCACATGACTTGCAAAGCCAAAATTACTCTGTCTGGTCCTTATAGGAAATAGTTTGCTCACCCCTACTCTAGGAGTTTCCTTAACATGGCTTTCAGAGTCCTGTGTCAGCTTTCCATACCTTTGCTCTGACCTCGCACACGTACTGCGTAAATTCCTATAATGTTTGTTTTTCCTCTCATCTCTCATGTCTTCCCACCCTACCAGTTCCTTTTATACATTGCCCAAGGCTTGGTTGGAGGTTCTTCTTCTGTAAGACCCCTTTCTCATATGATTTCGTTTTGTTGATCTCTCCATTATTTTGAACTATCTCCTCAAGAATTTTTGTCTGCACTCATATTTTTAGGCACTTGTGTATATTCTGTTTTGTTTCTTAGACATTCCATTCTCACATATGCTGTAAGCTTTTTGCATGTAGGGACTTTGTCTTCATTTGAGTATTTGGTGGTGGCAATCCATTTTGGTGACTCATCCTTCAGCATGGCCTTGCATAGAGAATTTTTAGAAACTTTTTTTTTCAACTTGTTTTTCTGTAATAGGGATGTATGTAGCTAATGAAATGTGTGTGTTTTGTTTTTAATCCAACTTATCCAGCATTTAGATTGTTATCTGGTTAGGAAATATTATAATGTGAAATATTCCTTTATTACCTGCTGGCTCTCCTTTCTTTGCTTGTCCTTTCATTTCAGTGTCTTAGAGCTTAAGTAAATACAGGAGCCAGGAAAATTAAGTCAGCAGGAATGTCCACAGAAACCGAGTAAGGGTTATTTGAATACCCGTTGTGCTATAGTGCACTGTACTGAGTTTATATAGACCGGTTAATAAAAAAACAAACAAACAAACAAACAAAAAACCACCAATTATTGCTCTGAATGTGACATTCTAAAATAGACATAGTTAGGGGCACCTGAGTGGCTCAGTCAGTTAAGCATCTGACTCTTGATTTTAGCTTAGGTCATGATCTCAGAGTTGCAAGATTGAGCCCCACATCAGGCTCTGTGCTGGGCATGGAGCCTGCTTAAGATTCTCTCTCTCTCGGGGCGCCTGGGTGGCTCAGAGGGTTAAAGCCTCTGCCTTCGGCTCAGGTCATGATCCCAGGGTCCTGGGATCGAGCCCCACATCGGGCTCTCTGCTCAGCAGGGAGCCTGCTTCCCTTCCTCTCTCTGCCTGCCTCTCTGCCTGCCTGTGATCTCTGTCTGTCAAATAAATAAATAAAATCTTTAAAAAAAAAAAAAAGATTCTCTCTCTCTCTTTATGCCCCTCACCCCAAATAATAATAATGAAAAATAAATAAATAAAATGATCATAGGTTTTTTTCTTTTTTAGATTTTATTTATTTATTTGAGAGAGAGAGCACAAGTTGGGGAGAAGGGCAAAGAGAGAGAGAGAAGCAGACTCCTTGCTGAGCAGGGAACCTCACACAGGGTTCGATCGCAAGACCCCGAGAGTGTGATCTGAGCCAAAGGCAGACGCTTAACTGACTGAGCCACCCAGATGACCCAGACATAGTTAGGTTAATATACAAAATAGAAAAGCAGAAAGAATTGAGGAACAAAATTACAGAGACAGTAGAATTATAATTTGGGATGGGGGAGGGGCAAAGGGAGAGGAAGGGAGTGATTCTTTTTTTTTTTTTTTTTTTTTAAAGATTTTATTTATTTATTTGTCAGAGAGAGAGAGAGAGAGGGAGAGAGAGCAGGCACAGGCAGACAGAATGGCAGGCAGAGGCAGAGGGAGAAGCAGGCTCCCTGACGAGCAAGGAGCCCGATGTGGGACTCGATCCCAGGACGCTGGGATCATGACCTGAGCCGAAGGCAGCTGCTTAACCAACTGAGCCACCCAGGCGTCCCAGGAAGGGAGTGATTCTTAAAAGCAGGCTCCATACCCAGCCCAGAGCCCAATGTGGGGCTCAATCTCTCAACCCTGAGATCATGACCTGAACTGAAATCAAGAGTCGGACACTTAACCGACTGAGCCATTTAGGCACCCCGAATCATGATTTTTTTTATGTCAACACAAATATGAAAATATATCATTAAAAGCTAGCAAAGTTGTATATTATCCCCAGTCTAAAGCCGGTTCTTGAGACTAAGCAAATTGCAAATACTTTGTTTTCTCAATTACCTCTCTAATGTATACCATAGAAGCTTTTATATGCATACATGCATCTTTGTAGACTTGAATTTATTGTTGCTTAGAAATTTGTTATTAAATTTAGGGGGGAAAATCCCTCAAGTTCCATTTCAAGGCACAGCAATTTTTTCAAGATTAGGAAATCAGGATGGAGCTCCAGGATGGAACACAAAATATTTCGGGAATAATCATCCTACCATCCAGTTGCTATTTGCGGGGCACTGACTGCGTGCCAGCACTCTGTAGGTGCCTTACCTACATTACATATGTGTAGTCGTCACCAAAACACTCCCAAGTCGGCAGAGAGGAGAGCACTGGGGCTCAGAAGAGGGAATCATTTTTCCAAGTTCACACAGCTGTTAAGTAGTGGAGCAGGATGAGAAATACATATCTTTTTCTCTTTTTCTTTTCCTTTTTTCTTTTTTTTTTTTTAATATTTTTTTCTAAAGATTTTATTTATTTATTTGACAGAGAGAAATCACAAGTAAGCAGAGAGGCAGGCAGAGAGAGAGGAGGAAGCAGGCTCCCTGCTGAGCAGAAAGCCCGATGTGGGGCTCGAACCCAGGACCTGGGATCATGACCTGAGCCGAAGGCAGCGGCCTAACCCACTGAGCCACCCAGGCGCCCCTCTTTTTTTTTTTTTTAACACTTCCAGTTCAGTGCTGTTTTGGAATGATGACCTGGGAATGACCATTCAAGGGGGAGGGAAGAGCTTGAGGCAGGCACAGCACTGGCAGGGGTTAAGGCCCTTGCAAGAAAGAGTAAGTGTTTGGGGCAAGAATGTAGCTGTTGTCATTTTAGTACCAGAAGGGGTGCCCACCCAGTGTGCCAACCTGATGCATCTTAGTATCTGATTTTACAAATACTGAACCCAACTGGCAACCATTTGTATCTTATCTTCTACATAACTGTCTTTTTCTCACAACAGCCATGTTTCAGGTGAAACTCCTTGCATGATGTTGGTTAAAAACCCTGCAAGAGGGGCGCCTGGGTGGCTCAGTGGGTTAAGCCTTTGCCTTCGGCTCGGGTCATGATCTCAGGGTCCTGGGATCGAGCCCCGCATGGGGCTCTCCGCTCAGCAGGGAGCCTGCTTCCCCCCTCTCTCTCTGCCTGCCTCTCTGCCTACTTGTGATCTCTCTCTCTCTCTGTCAAATAAATAAATAAAATATTAAAAAAAAAAAAACAAAACTCTGCAAGAACAGCGAAGGCCCTTATTTAGGAAGGGAAAGGATTTATAAATGCTTCATCCATAAACTGACACCGGACTCGTTTACTGCCTTCCTCTAACCTTTAGTTTCAGGTTAAGCTTGCCTTCCAGTGACTCTAATGACAGAGAAGCTGCAAATGGATATGAGTGAAGTTCTTACATGTCAAAACCTGGCACAGAAACATTTTTGTTTGTTTTTTATGTATAAAAGGTGGAAAGAGCAAATCAAAGGCTATTCTTTAATAGCCAAATGTAATTAAAATGCATGGTCAGATTTACATTTTAGTACCTTAGAGGCATTGATATCACCTGTTTCTGAAATGAGATTGCTGATTCAAAAAAAGAAACCCAAATCTCAATATATAGAAAATTCTCTTACCCGCCTCTTCTTTTTTTTTAATTCTGATGTTATGATATCATTTATAGGGTAAGATGGAAATGTATCTCTTGTGGAAACTGTAAACATACTTAAGATTCTATCACTTAGGGAGCTTCAGACAGAAGGATTTTCTTTCCCCTATAATCAAGTATTTAGCAAAGACAACATGAAGCTCCTTGGACTGTGCTCAGTCGTACAATCCAACCCTCCCATACCTTTTTTCTTTTTCTCCTAGAGTAGTTTAGTTGCTTACCTACAGTGATTCAAAAGTGAGACACTTTGGTTTATCATCAATATTCTGGTTTCATCTTTGATGGGGCTGGTTATGTGGGGACTGAGCTATTTCGACATGCCTTTTGAGCTTTGTCCCTCCGTCAAGGAGCTTGAGAAGTGGAGATGAGGGACCTCAGAGGTGATTTCTCCGACCTACCAGCTTAGGATTCAGAACAGCTAGATTTCTTTTCAGAGGCTGGAGGCCCAGATGCACAACCGTGAGAGCCAGGGGGCTGGGTGGCCCGTGGTCACTGCAGCTTGATTCTCCGATCCAGCTTTTCCCTTCCTTTCCCTGCCCCATCCCCAAAGCGCCAGTGATAGAATCGTTGAGGTTGGTGACGTGTTGAGGGCTGTCGGCATATTCCTTACTTAGAAGTCTTACTCTGAATGCATGTGTAAGAAAATTATAGAGAGGGTAGAATCGTGATTCTCTATGTCAACAAAAAGTGGTTATCAGTTAAAAAAATAAGCACTAGATTGAAAGTGGCAATAACTGGATTCTGCCGTCTCCCTTGACCTTGAAAAAGATCTATAACTCGTCTGCATGTTTCTTCGGTGGACCTGGGGTAATATGTGTTTCCTAGAGCTTCTGTGTGGTTGAGATAACCTGCGGGAAGTGTTTTGAACTCCTAAAGGAATGATGTCAAGGAGACAAAAGGCAATGACTGTTATTACCACAAAGACAGGGAGGAGGTAAAGACAGATCTGCATTTTCTTCCTTAATCTTCTCGTCTTTCCAGATGCTTGTGGGTCCTTTTGAGTCCCCTACCCCTCTGTCCCTCAGGTTGGAGTGGTGGTGGGGTTCCATGCTTGGGTGCAGGAAGAATACCTTCTACCCCTTGACACTGTATTCGTCAGGAAGGCCTGTGTAGGCACCACCCTTTGGGTCAGCATTGAGTGGGACCCCCACCGCGCTGTGCTGGGAGAGCACGGGATCTGCAGATAGAAGAAGGCATCTCTCTGCAAGCTGAGGACAGGCAGCCATGGAAGGTGTACTCCTTCCTGGCTTGCCTACTCCTCCTTCACCCAGCCCACCGCCTGGTACCCAGGCTCCTCTGGTCACCTGCCATGACACAGGAAAGTGAATCCAAAGAGGCTGGTGCTTCCTACCTGCCTCGAGTGGGGCCGGCTGGGAACACCTTTCTGAGCAGCCCAGCAGTGTGAGCATACTTGTTCACGCTGCCATCAGCCATGTCCTTCAGTGCCACCATCCTCTTCTCCCCTCCCGGTGGCAGCGAGGCCAGATGCTGCTGCTGTGCTTGCAAGAGCGAGACTAGCGCGAGCAGCTCAGGGTCCCAAGGCGGGAACCCTCCCGCCAGCACCCCCATCACGGTGACTGGACACGGTCTGGCCGTTCAGAGTTCCGAGCAGCTCCTGCACATTATCTACCAGCGGGTGGAGAAGGCCGTGGGCCTGGCCGAGGCCGCTCTGGGGCTCGCGAGGGCCAACAACGAATTGCTGAAACGTCTCCAGGAGGAGGTGGGTGAGCTGAGGCAAGGGAAAGCCTCTGCCCCAGACGAGGATGCGGACAGCCGGGCGCACGGCTCCCCGCCCGAGGAGCCGGGGCCTCTCAAGGAGAGCCCCGGGGAGGCGTGCAAGGCGGCGGCCGCGGCGGAAGAGGAGTGTGACAGCGTGGGCAGCGGCATGCAAGTGGTGATCGAGGAGCTGTGGCAGGTGGGAGCCGCCTCGGCCGTGGGGCCCGGGCCCTTGGGCTTCCCGGCCGCGCAGAGAGACGCGCGGCTCCCGGGGTGCCCCCTGGCGGCCGGCGACGCGGCCCCGCTGCTCAATCCCGTGAGTAGGGCCGCAGAGCGGGACGCGCGTGTCGTGGGGTGGCTCCCGAGGGTTTCTCCGGGCCTGTCCCTCTTCCTTCTGCCTCCCTCTGGCTTCTGTCCAGCCTTCAGCCTCGCTTTTGGGGGTTACTTGTGCGCAAACAGGACAGCCCCGGTCGTCCCTTGCCGGCGGGCATATGCAGCCCTCGTGTGCCTGGCTCCCCACCGCAGCCCATATGGCAGGAGCTCGACTCCGGTGTGCGGGGCGCTGGCCGTGCCCTCCCCTGCCTCTCAGGAGCTCTGCGTGCCACCCTCTCCTCCACAGCTGGCTCCGCTGCTCCAGGGGCTCTGCCTCTCCTGGCGAGGAGGCCTGCCGCGCACAGACGTCTCATTCATATTTTATCACGGGCCCTCCGCTTGCCAAGAGGAATTCAGTACAGAGAGATGGGAATGGAGGGGGCGGGCAGGCAGAGGTGGAGAGAGAGGGAGGGGGACGGGGGAGGGACGGAGAGGGAGGAGAGAGGGAGAGGACAAAGGGAACGGAAGGACAGGTGTAGGGAGGGAAGGAGGCAGGTGGAGAGGAAGGGTTGAGGAAGGAGGGAAAGTGAAGAGAGCACAGAGGAAAGGCGAATCTAAATGGGAAGAGAATTGAGGCGGGCAAGAGAACGTGGGGGAAGGTGGGAAAGAGGTGGAGGGAAAGGGAAAACGTGAGGATGAGAAGTGGACAGCTGGGAGTTCCTGGGAAGAGAGAGACGTCGTTGTCGGGAGAACAAGGGGAGCAAGCGGGCATATTTTGTGAGCAGGAAAAGACACAGAAGTACACTGTGATATTTCAGTTTCTTTACTGCTCAGGGCCATCTGAGCAGGAAAACCCTGGCTGAGTGGAGTAAAAACTGCAGAGCGTGGCACATGGAAGTACGAAAAGGAGATGGAGCAACTAGGGAGATCACAGAGATGGGAAAGTAACAGATGTGTCACCACTTGAGAGACAGTGGGAGGTCTGTCAGCTCTCCTCCCCCATGGTCCCTCCCCCCACGTCCTCTCTTTCCTCCTCCCTCATGCACAACAAGGTCCAGACACCCAGGAAAGAGAGAAGGAGCAGAGCACACAGGGGAGATGGAAGGGAGGAAACTCCCAGCCCATCTGCTAGATCTGAGAAATGAATGTAGAAGCCCCTGTCCCCCTCCAGTGTCATGCTGTGGCTGGTCACTGCTCCCTGAAGGCCTAGCCATGTGGTGGGTGACGGCCACTGCCGCTTGCCCCATTCAGGCCAGCCAGGACTCTGGAGGGGGGAGCTGCAGGGAGGTGGGAGGAGGCAGGGGGCACTAGGTACCAGGCTAGGCGATGCCCTGAGCTTTGGTTCTGTCAGGCAGAGAAGGCTTCCAAGCCGACAGGATGGAATTAGATTTCACAGCGCAGAAAGCAGCTCACAGGTCTATAAATCTCAGCCTCCTCCCCCGCTTCTTTCTGTCCCCCCCCCCCCCCCCCCCCCGCTTTCACTGTTTTGTTTTCTTGGCTGCAGAAATCCCCCCTCCTTTCTTCCCTGTCTCTCCTTCCTCCCTCCTTCCTTTCCCTGCCCTGTATGTCCTTGAGTGAGGGCACAGGCAGCAAGTAGATGTCAGGACAATGACAGTCGGTGTGGCCAGGGCAGGATCAAGGTGGGAGCACAGACAGGTCCTGTGAAGGGAATGGGTGGGGGGGACAGTTGGTGCCAGCCTCTCTAGAAATTTATGACTTTTTTTTTTTTTAAGATTTTATTTATTTACCTGACAGAGATCACAACTAAGCAGAGAGGCAGGCAGAGAGAGGAGAAAGCAGGCTCCCTGCTGGGCAGAGAGCCCAGTGTGTGTGTGTGTGGGGGGGGGCTCAATCCCAGGATCCTGAGATCATGACCTGAGCTGAAGGCAGAGGCTTAACCCACTGAGCCACCCAGGTACCCCATTTTATTTATTTTTTCTTTTCTTTCTTTCTTTCTTTCTTTTTTTTTTTTTAAGTAGGCTGCACACCCAACCTGGGGCTTGAATTCACAACCCTGAAGGCAGAGGTTTAACCCACTGAGCCACCCAGGTGCCCCGAAATTTCTGACTTTATATCTCTCTTCTTTGCTCCCATTTTTCTCCTGTTTCTCCTGTTTGTGTTATCATTTTCTTTTCTTGTTCTTTCTCTTGCTTGGTGTTCCTTTCTTATCACTTCCTCCCCCAGTCCTTTTAGACAAAATATTTGCCTGGCTATGATTCTTACACCCAAGAGCAAATCATAGATGATTCCTCACAAATAGAGCATCAGAAACAAGCTTTGTCCTTGTAATCAGTCCTGTGGGTAACGATTCAACTCGAGAGGCCATGTATTTCTAAGAAATATTTTCCGACACTCCCGTAGGAGTCCCCGAGAAACAAGCTGTTGACCATTAAAGACTGTGCTGGATTCCCCCTGCTTTCTGCTCTCTCTGTTCACTGCCCTTGGCCAAAGGATGATGGTTGACTGAGTTCCCCTAAGCCTGGATGGCTAATGGGCTATTCTTTTTTATGTTCTTAGCTGGTGGATGATTATGTGGCCTCTGAGGGTGCAGTACAGCGGGTGCTGGTCCCTGCTTATGCCAAGCAGCTCTCACCAGCCACACAACTGGCTATCCAGCGGGCAACCTCAGAGACAGGGCCAGAAAATGGAAGCAAGCTGCCACCACCCGGCCCCGAGGACATGCTCAGTGCTGCTGCTGCGCTGGAAGGTGCCTTGGAAGAGTCAGGCCCTGGGGGAACAGGGGAGCTGAGACACTCTCTAGGGTTTACTGCTTCCCCATGCAGGACCAGAGGGAGTGGGCAGAAGAACTCCAGGCGCAAGCGGGATCTGGTACTCTCTGTGAGTGAGCTCAATTCTATACATTTTTCTTCAGTCTGGAGAGAGAAATGAAGAATGAAGTGTGGGTTGATTTTAAACGTCCCATATTGAATGAATGGTGTCCTGGATCCTACTGGAGGGGGAGGGAAAACAAGGAGACAGGCTGGTCCGTGGCCCTAAGGATGGGCAGGCCCCCTGCTAATCAGGGAACTTTAAAAAAAAATTTATTTATTTGACAGACAGAGATCACAAGTAGGCAGAGAGACAGGCGGGGGTGGGGGGGTGGGCAGGGGTAAGCAGGCTCCCTGCTGAGCAGGGAGCCATATGTGGGGTTCAATCCCAGGACCCTGGGATCATGACCTGAGCTGAAGGCAGAGGCTTTAACCCACTGAATCACCCAGGCGCCCCATTGGGGAACTTTTTAAAGGCTTTTCCAAATAGTTTGAAATATTCTGTTTAAAGAGAAGGGTTTTCTATCACTTCTCCTCCCCATGAACTAATAGTCCTGATGGGAAGATCTTTAAGGGATTGAGCAGACTGACCACTGAAGGGTAGCACGGGAAACAGCCTACAGATAACTGGTGTTCAGGGTAAGCAGCAAGGGACCCCTTGGCAGAATGGCCAAGGAATGCTGAGGTGGCCACAGCCCAAGGGCGCAGAGGGCCCCTCATCTCTCAGCTCGGTTAAAAAGGTTTGGTGAGTCTAGGGATTCCAAGAGCTCTTGGCAGGGAATGTACTGGGCTGAACCAGTTGAGCCTAAAACTTGGGAGTGGCTTGGAGCCTCGGGAGCACCCCTAAACATCCTTCAGTGCACAGGGCAGCCACCCACAATAATTCGACCTAAAACGTCCGTCGTGCCAGGGTCAAGAAACCCTACTCTAGGGTGACCATAGTCCCTTGGATCGCCTCTGCATCCCCAGACATCTTTCTGATAACTGTGGGGGTGTTCTTTAGCTAGATCCTGTTCATATGGACTGTAAGGCATTTCCCTTCTCTGGCTCATGGCTGATAGAGTCATTGGAGAGTTCTGAATAGGAGGGGAGTTCACCATTCACACCCACTGGAAATCTCAGCACAGTGTAGCCCTGTTCTCTTGTCACAATATTAATAAAGGTTGAAGCCCACCCAGTACTGTGCTTACCGACTTCATCTTAACTGAAGATTCTTCTTTCATTACTTCTTGCTTCTTTTTCCCTTGTCTAAGGGCTCCTGACTCTTACCCTTCCTTTCCTCTGGTTTGTTTTTACATTAAGGGCTTCTTTTCTTCCCTGGGAAGGAAGACACCATTCATAATCAGAATCAGCTGGTTTCTAACCTTCATTTTAAATTTTGGTTATGTTCAGGGATAGCTCACTTATCAAAAACAGGGAATGGGTTTAGTTTTTCTGTCAGAAACTTCTGGCCCAAGAGGGCAACTCTTGCTGCCAGTGACAGAAATGGAGGCATATACCTAGAAATGCATTGCAAGGGATTTCCCAAAACTTCATAGTGTTTAAATCATGAATAAATGCATAATAATTACAATTTGCTTAAAAATGGGTCTTTTGACCACTCCCAGTTCTTCTTCCTACCTCCTCCAGGGAGAGGTCTGGGGTTGAGGCCTGGCTGCTGCCTGCCTTTTGGAGAGCCCGGTGGAACTAAGGACCTTACAGGAGGACAATGTGCTCACCCCTCCTGCTCTGTTACAGATGCTTGAAAGGGCTCTGGAGGACCAGTCAGGGGATTTTGCTGCCCATCCCAGAGGAAGGTTTCAAATGTACTTGTGCCAGACTGGTTTCGAGGGAGAGGGTTAGCTGCAGGCCTTCAGTCTTCCAGCTTTTAGCTCTGGGAAGGAATCAAAGAGGCATCCCTCCAGTCTGCTTGGGTCGCTGGGGATTGCTGCTAGGGATCCAAAAGGACCAAATGGGAACCACAGACTTCTTGGAATGCGGCAGATCCCAGCCGCCCCTTGGGGAAATATATTTATTTTTAGCTCGCTCAGGAGGTAGGTGAGCCAGCAGCCTTCACAGTCTTAACACTTATTATTGTCTTAGAGTATTTTCCCTTTCCACTTCAAGCCTGGTTTGATTTTTATCAGCTGATCTCTTCCAATCCACTTGAGTTGGAAGCTGGGCACCTCCTCTCCCTTTCTTTTTTTTCCTCCCTCCCTCCCTCCCTTCCTTCTTCCTCCTTCCTTTTCTTCTTCTTCTCCTTCTTCCTCCTCCTCCTCTTCTTCTTCTCCTCCTCCTCCTCCTCCTCCTTCTCCTTCTCCTTCTTCTTCCTGCAACACTTTCAGATTCTTTCTGAAGCATTCACCTATATTTTGTGATTCCTTAGGTTGGGACTCTGAAGAGGTAAAATAACCATATCAAATATGAAGCTAATTTAATAACAGTCCTTTTTATAGAGTAGAGGCCCTAACCATAAACACTTGATGGTACTTTCCTAAATGGATATGGTCAGTCAGTCCTAGAGGCAGAAGGGTAAACTGGGAACTCCTTAGCTGCAGCTGATGTCCTGATATGAGTCCATCGGTTTGGGACTGGCAATTTCCACTGACCGAGGGAGCTTGGGATGAAAATACCACCAGAAACACTGGAACTAAATTTAACTGGAAGAAATGTAAAGTCCTGCATCAAAGTTTAAAAAAAAAAATGGTTGCAGAATGGCATAGATAGTAATCCATGTGAAAAAATGGACTCGAGTTGACTGTAAGCTCACTAGGAATGAAAACTGTGACCTTAGGAATAGGGGTGGCATTGCTAAGAAAGGTAATGCCATCTTGGGTTTCATTCCTAGAAGTGTAGTGTGCCACTCAGTGAAGTAATGCTCCCTTTGGCCTGGTCTCCACTGACGCATTAGATTCCGTTCCCACTGCCACGTTGTCCGGGGACACTGGCAAGCCAGAGAGCCTGATGGTTTTGAGAGGCGTCTGTCTGGAAACTGTGTCATGAGGAATGGCTGAAGAGCTTGGGGCCATTTAGCCCGGATAGAAGACCTGGGGAGTACATGAGAGTCTTCAAAGATTTTAGGTGCTGTTAGGGGCAAAACTGGCCAGATTTCGGAGTCTGAGACAAAACTTTTTAACAATCAGGGATGTTCAATAGTAAAATAAGCTGACTTGAAAGAATAGTGAGAACCCATTCTTAAAGGTATGCAAGCAAAGCTGAAAGTAAGCCTGTAGAATGATGTGAGGTTGGGAGTTGGGTGATAGTGTCTCCAAGATCCTTTGCATTTCACATTTCTGTTACTTTAGGTTTGTGTTTTTTAGACCATGGTGTGTGTACCCTTGAGATTTGTGGTAATGTGCAAAGGAATATACTTACGGCATTTTCCTGGGTCCTCAATTTTATGAGACATTAGAATTTCTTAGACATTCAGAAGACATTTTTAAAATTTTTGTTTTATTTAAGTTCAATGAATTAACATATAGTGTAGTGTTGTTTTCAGAGGTAGAGTTCAGTGATTCATCAGTTGCATATAGCATCCGGTGCTCATTACAAGAAGACATTTTTAGATTAAAATAAATACAGATACATTGTAAAGAAAACTTGAAAGTTTGCAAGAATAGGGGCCCTCAAGGAATGTCCAGGTGCAGTAATCCTGGTGTATATTTGCTCTCTCCTGGTTATTAGGAAGGATTATGTTTGTGGAAATGTCTGAGACCTTTTCCCCTAGTGGATTATATTCCCCAGAAAAGAAGTGAGACCAGGGATGATCCTGGAGTCCTCGTACAAATTAAATGAAAAGGACCACAAAAGGGAGGACGTCTGAAATACTGACTTGAATAGGCTCTCTGGCTAAGAAGAGGCACCAGCAATGGTGCCCAGCCTATGGGAAGGATTCAGGCAGAGAACCCCATAGGGGTTCAACCCCATAGGGATGATGCCCAGGGAACAGAGGAGGGTTTCATCATATCCACTCCCAGCTTGAATCTGTATTTGTTTTTTTTTTTTTTCCCCTAGAAATTGGTCCACAATGTGCATAACCACATCACCAATGACAAGAGATTCAATGGGTCTGAAAGGTATGATCCTCTTGAGGGAAAAGAATCACAGGGTACTCTGCCTCTTCCCCTGGAGGGCAGTAGAGGGTTACTCCAATGTAACAGTGAGGCTGAGGTTGCCCCCTGCATCCTGTCCTTGGCCATGGGGGAGTTTATCTCAAAGTTAATTTGTGCCAGGAATCTCTGTCTGGCTTTTAAAATGCTGACTGCCTCGTTCATGATCTTCTTTGTGGCAGCATCAAGTCCTCTTGGAATATTTCAGTAGTGAAGTTCCTTCTGGAAAAGCTCAAGCAGGAGCTGGTGACCAGTCCCCACAATTACACTGATAAGGAACTGAAAGGTGAGAAAAATTGAATTAACCCCCATCCTTTTTCCACTCACTGTTCTTGGTCAGAGAAGAGTTGTAATGGAGGTGATTTAAGCGATTTTGAAAATAGTGGACTTAAAACATTTTTTTTGGCTATTCTCACATCTTTACAGGATTGTTTCTCTTTCTTTCTTTCTTTGAGAGAAAGGGAGAGATTGAATGGGATGGGGGAGAGGGAGAAAATCCCAAACAGACTCATCGCTGAGCACAGAGCCCCAACACGGCTTGATCCCAGACACTGAGAGCACAACCTGAGCCAAAACCAAGTTGGAAGGTCAGCAGACCTTCCAAGCTGCCCAAGTGCCCCTTTTTCTTTCTTTCTTTTTAAAAAATATTTATTTATTTTAATAATTAAATATTTAATTTAAATATTTAATTATTTATTTACTTATTTAAATATTTATTGGGGAAAGAGAGAGAGAGTGCAAGTAAGGGCAAGAGCAGAGAGACACTCCCCACTGAACATAGAGCTGACTCGGGGCTCCATCTCAAGACCCTGAGATCATGACCTAAGCCCAAATTACTCAACCGACTGAGCCACCTAGGCACCCCAGGATTGTTTCTAATTGCCTTTTTATTCCTCTATCCCACTTGAAATGAAAATAGGAGAAGGAAAGGACTAACACCAGCAGGCATGATATTTCCACAGGGCCTGAATCTAGGGTGTTACAGAAAGGAAGTCAGAATCCAGGCCTGCCCTTTTGTCCCTAAATATTACATCCTGGGTTTTCTACTTTCCTTACTCTTCTCTTATTTGCCCATAGCTAACCCTGCAGCATTAAGAAAGCTTCTGCTGAAAAACTGCTGGTAATCCACTACCGGAAGAGTAGAATAGGGATGGGTTTGATTGATCAAGCCCAGGTCGGGGGAGGAAGCTACAGAGCTTGGACTTGTTGAGTGCCTGTGGGAGATATGGGGGGAGTCAGTGCTGGACAGGGAGGTGAACAGAGACAGCCAAACCAAAGAGGAGTAAATAGATGCTGATGAGTCTGTGAGAAAACCCACCATCCAGAGTGATTCTCACCTTCCCAGCCAGTAGTGTTAGGGCAGAAAAAAAGGGCTGAGGACCTGCTCTCTGCCCCCTCCCATTTCCCTCCTCACCAGGAGCCTGTGTAGCCTACTTCCTTACTAAGAGGCGTGAGTACCGCAACTCCCTGAACCCCTTTAAAGGCCTGAAGGAAAAAGAGGAGAAGAAGCTTCGAAGTCGCAGATACCGGGTAGGTTTCTAGGCCTTCTTTTCAAGATACTAAACACTAAACCCTACTAAGCTGCAGTGGGACGGGCCAAAGGACATGGCATCTGAGGATAGGGTTGAGAGCCAGGAATGTTGGCAGAAAGAGGAGGTGGGGGGGCAGTTCTAAGATGACTTGGGGGCTAGGTTCTCTCAGACACAGATTTTATATGGCCTTCTTCCTATGAGAACCCTCTTCCCAAATCTAATCCACAGTTTGTTTCTCTTCCTGTCTCTACCCTGGGCTCCTTCCTTAGCTTTTTGCCAACCGATCCAGCATCATGAGGCATTTTGGACCTGAGGACCAACGCCTATGGAAGGATGTGACAGAGGAGCTGATGTCAGATGAAGAGGACAGTCTTAATGAGCCAGGTGTCTGGGTGGCCCGGCCTCCCCGGTTCCGGGCCCAGCGCCTCACGGAGCTCTGCTACCACCTGGATGCCAATTCTAAGCATGGCACTAAAGCCAACCGTGTGTATGGGCCTCCCTCAGACCGATTACCTTCTGCTGAGGCCCAGCTCCTTCCACCAGAACTTTATAATCCTCATTTCCAAGAAGAGGAAGAAGAGGGAGGTGATGAGAATGGACCTGTCTCCCCATCTTTCGACCAACCCCACAAAACCTGCTGTCCTGACTTGAACTCATTCATTGAAATCAAGGTGGAAAAGGATGAATGAAATCTATAACCAAGAATAACTCTGGATTCTGCCATTCCCCATGTCCCAGGAATGGGACTTCCCAGAATAACAAGATGTCCTCTGCAGTCTGTCTCTCTTCTCACCACAGTCCCCAATGGAAGTGAAGCTGGCAGCTGTAGTGGGATAAAAAGACTTACCTAGAAGGGGGACCTCCCTGCTCCCTGTGAACGGCAAGCCAGAAATTCTTATTTCTAAGCACACACAGTGCCTCGGGGTGCCTGGGCTGAGAAAAGGAGGAGGATGAGTCTAAGAAACATGAGGCCTTCTTGACATATGCCCCATCTCGGAGTTTTTTTGTTTTTTTGTTTTTTTCTGGTTTCACTGAAATCTCGGGGAAGCTACCCTGGTTGCACATTCTGCTTCCCCCTGACTGCTTGTCTGGCTCTGCGGTGGCTGCAGCCTTGGACCAGGCCGGGGTCCTACTGCCCCCTGGTGGGCAGTTCCGTCATGGGCTGGAGTCTTCTGAGCACCACTCCATTCCTATTTGGGAATTGGGAGACTAATATAATAGCTGCTGTTTATTGAATTATGTAAGGCAGATTTTATTATTCCCATCTTCCACATGAAGAAATTAAAGCCTAAAGAGTTCCATGTCCCACTGGCAGCTGCTGTCCCCCTGTGGGACCCAGCGGTATAGGGGGCTTTGTAGGTATTTTCTTAGTCGTGTCAGCCAAGCTGTATTTCAAGGAAGGGGTGAGTGTGTGTGTGTGTGCGCGCGCACATGCATGAACGTGTGCACACACTCGCTGATGCACACACACACACACACACACACACACACTTGCATACAAACTTAGTGCCTGATGAATGGAATGTGAAGTAAAAATGGCTTTCTGTTCAGTCAGTCATACAACAAATACTGATTACTTCCTAGGTGTCAGGTACTGTGTTAGGTGTTGTGGGTACCCTGTGGAGCAGGTCAGATGCTGATTAGAGGTTTCATTATCTAATCAGGGAGCCAGGCAGTTAAGTATACAGTGAAATGAACTGCGATAAGGGTGATGATGGGGGAGTGTAAGGGGCAGAAGCAGCAGACAGCAGGGCTGGCTGACCTATTCTGGGGGTCTGGAAAGGCTTCTCAGAGAGTGGCACTTAGACTGGCACCTGAAAGATGGTGAGGCGTGAACCAGAGGGTAAGGGTAGGCCGGGAGTCTTCCAAACAAGGGAATAGCAAGGACAAAAGTCCAGAGGCAAGAGAGAGCACAGAGGAGTTGCCATCGTCCTGCAGAACAGTTTGAGGAGGAGCTGGTGCATAGAGAAGCTGGAGAGACACAGAGACCTCGTCAGGTATCTTAAAGAATATAGACTTTAGTTCGAAGGCAGTGAGAAATCATTCAAGGGTGGCTGGCAGGGAAATGAGATGATCAGTTTTGTGTTTGAGAATAATCCCTTGTCCTTGGTAGGAGATGGATGGCAGGGAGAAACCCAGGCCTGGGTGTGGGGCTGCTGGGGGGTATTCTGCAGTGGCTCAGGAAAGGAGACGGCTGGTCAGAAAGTGATGGTGAGAGGACAGAATTGGAAGTTATTTAAGAAGCTGAACTGAGAGGATTTGGTGACTGACAGGCTTGGTGATGAGAGTTGGTTGGACCTGAGATGGAGGGAGGAGGACAGAAGGTTGGTGTTCCTGTTTCGGGCTTAAGCAGCTAAGTGTGTAATGGTGCCGTTTCTTCAGGGGACGCTGGAGGAGCCAGTTTCGGGAGGCAGGAAAGGTGAAGTCAGTTGAGAGTGTTGTATGCCTTTGAGACAGCCAAGTAGAGATGCTAGTGGTCGGCTGAGTTTTTAAGTCTAAGAAAGTCTGGGCTAAGGGGCGCCTTGCTGGCCCAGTCAATGGAGGCATGCAACTCTTGATCTCAGTCAGGGTCACGAGTTCAAGCCCCAGGCTGGGCGTAGAGCTTACTTATAAAAGAAAAAAATATCTGGGCTAGAAATAAGGATTTGGGAGCCAACTGTGTACACAGTTCATAATTCAAGTCTTGAGGAGAGAGAACAAGGCCTGCGGAGCTCCCGGCTCTAGTCAAGACTACAGAACGGTTACCCTGAGGTCCTAAGCACTCTGGAGCATGCCTTCAGTGCCTCCTTCCGCCCCTTCACTTGTCTCTGGTTCTTGTTATCCCCTGAAAACACAGGTGGTTGGTCCCAGCTGTGCCCATTGCTGCCACCACCAACTCCCACAGGGGCTTCCTTTAAAGGCTTCTCAACTTTTCCTAAGGTTCACTCTCCCATCCTCACTCCAAAGTGGGAAAGCTTCCAAATATAAGAGGCTCTGTGGATATTTTGATTGTAAGTAGTAGGAAGGAAGAATCCAAGTTCTCTTTCCCCATCTGGAGACAGGAAAGGAAGGAGATGTCACAGCGGGTTCTGGATGCAACCTGATAGCTCCCCTCTGTTACTAATGCTTTCAGTGTTCCCTGCTTCTAGTCTGATACTGAACTCTCCTCTGGATCAGAGAAAAGCTGTAGGCCTGACAGGGAAAGAGAGAGGCTAGTTCTCCAGAGAGATGAGGTCAGGGAGACAATGCAGCTAGGACAAAGAAGCCAAATAGTTTGTGCCAAATTAATTTCCCCAAAGATATTAACTTCCTTTGCTTCCCCATTCCCTAAGGCTACACTAAGATTATGAAAGGTGTTCAAAATGTTGAAATGAAAATAATATGCATGATTTGTTTGCATATAATTTTCATGCTCATTTACTATCTAAATACAAAGGAATCATTTCCTTCCCCATTCTACCTCCTCTACCCCTTGCCCCTGATATGCTAGTCAGGGCAAAATCAGTTGCACTGGCATTTAATTAGACACGTTTAGCTTCAGCCACCTTTTCTTCCTTTCCTTATTCTTCATTTTACCAGTACGTCCAACACTAGAAGCCTCCTCTTTCCCTTTTCCACCCTGATAATTTTCACTTGCTAGATCGTCTAAATGACATTTCCTTTCTTCCTTTTTAATGCTTACCCTTTATCACAATCTCCTGTGGGCCCACCATCGGGGAGGCGTCCGCTAGCCCTAACACCAGGCCTCCCATCCCCCTTGTCGCCTGAGAGAGTTGCTAAAAATCTCTTTTCCCAACACCAGGGGGTGTCTTCTAGTCCTCTATCTGTCCTACCCGGACGGTAAAGATGAGTCCCAACCCTCTTCCTCACTCTTTTTGCGCAGACACTAAAGTTCCTTCCCTCCCTACCGTCGCAGAGCTTTGGGTTCAGAAAGTGGTGTCCTTTTATTGCAGTTTATCTGTTGCGCTCTCATTCTGTCTGGACTTGCACAAATTTGCCTTTTTCTCAGTCTGCTCAACCTTCGGTCTGCGCACCACCCACGATTTCCTCCCTGTGCTCCAGCTCCCCCTTTCTTTCGCTACCTGTCTTCCACCACCTCTCTACGTGGGCTTCCTCGCCCTTCTGGGCTCTTCCCATTACGTGTCTCTGACCTCTTTATGTATCTACCTTTCTCCCTGACCCCCTCTTTGTGGGTCTCATTACTTCTGTGCCGGTCTCTCTTCATCTCTCCCACAGTCCCCATAGTAGGAACAAAGTCACGATGTTTGCGCAGAACATGCCTCGCGTCGCCCCGTCCGGGACCGCGACATTCCACCGTGCCCCTCCGCGCATTCCAACTGCAAACAAAGAGTTCCTTTCCCCCCTCCCCCACTTTTCCCGGTCCCACTTCCTGAGAGATGCAGTAGCAGCTGCCCAAACTGCCCCTCGGCCTCCCCTCGCCTCCGGTCGGCGGGTCTCCACCTCCAGGGACAGTTAGCACCAGCACCACCCTCCCCAGCCGCCGCACCAGAGATCCCTGCGCAGGCACCCCCGTTCCTCTCGCACACAGCGCTCCGCCCCTCCCGGAAAGTAGATCCGGCCAGGCAGACAAAAGTTTGGGAGAGAAGTTCGGTCTGTGCTGAGTGTGAGAGCGAGGGGGGCGGGGGCCGGGGAGATTGGGGCGGCCCGGCGAGTGGACGAGTGAACAGACTGACCTGCGGACCGGACAGCCGCGGCCGTAGGCCCTTCTAGCCCCGCTTAACCCCTGATGCGCGGGGGGAAGCAGCCCCTCTCGCTGGGGGATGCTGCGGGATTCCCGGCGCCGGGCATCTGGGCCGCCCGCTAACCCCCTGTGCCTACCCCGTGCCCCCGGAGAACCGGAGTCCGGCCGCTGGGAAAGAGAAGCGGCCGCCGAGAAGCTGCAGGGTGCCCGGCGGGGAGGGGGCTGGAGCCCCCAGGCCCGAGGGCATGGAGCGGTTAGGGGAGAAAGCCAGTCGCCTGCTGGAGAAGTTAAGGCTCTCCGACTCCGGCAGCGCCAAGTTCGGCCGCAGAAAGGGTGAATCTAGCCGGTCTGGGTCTGATGGGACCCCCGGGCCGGGCAAGGGACGCCTGAGTGGGTTGGGGGGGCCTAGGAAATCAGGGCCCCGTGGAGCTACTGGGGGACCTGGGGATGAGCCGTTGGAGCCAGCCCGGGAGCAGGGCCCCCTGGACGCTGAGCGGAACCCGCGCGGCTCCTTTGAGGCGCAGCGCTACGAAGGCTCCTTCCCCGGGGGACCGCCTCCCACCCGGGCCTTGCCTCTACCTCAGTCACTGCCCCCCGACTTTCGGCTGGAGACCACGGCCCCAGCTCTAAGCCCACGCTCCAGTTTCGCCAGTAGCTCAGCCAGCGACGCCAGCAAGCCGTCCAGCCCCCGGGGTAGCCTGCTGCTGGACGGGGCGGGGGCAGGCGGAGCCGGAGGTAGCCGACCCTGCAGCAATCGCACCAGCGGCATCAGCATGGGCTACGACCAGCGCCACGGCAGCCCCCTGCCCGCCGGGCCCTGTCTGTTTGGCCCACCCTTGGCTGGGGCTCCAGCGGGGTATTCCCCTGGAGGGGTGCCGTCCGCCTACCCGGAGCTCCACGCCGCCCTGGACCGATTGTGTGCTCACCGGCCCGCGGGGTTCGGCTGCCAGGAAAGCCGCCACTCCTATCCCCCGGCCCTGGGCAGCCCCGGAGCTCTAGCCGGGGCCGGAGTGGGAGCGGCAGGGCCCTTGGAGAGACGCGGGGCGCAACCCGGACGACACTCAGTGACCGGCTACGGGGACTGCGCGGCGGGCGCCCGATACCAGGATGAGCTAACAGCGTTGCTGCGCCTGACGGTGGGCACGGGTGGGCGAGAAGCCGGCGCCCGCGGGGAACCCTCGGGGATTGAGCCGTCGGGTCTCGAGGAGCCACCAGGTCCTTTCGTTCCAGAGGCCGCCCGGGCCCGGATGCGGGAGCCGGAGGCCAGAGAGGATTACTTCGGTGAGTGAAAGAAATGGTTAGGGACGGGACAGGACGGGACCCATCACCGCCTTCCTTTCCTCACTGCCCCGACGGCCCAAATTGCCGGCGCCGGGAAGTCGGAGGCGGAGACGCGGAGCTAGAAGAGAGGCAAGAGGGATTTCCCCTTCCCACCAGGTCTCAAATGGACCTTGGGCTCCTTATTCCTGCTACACTCAACCCCCTGATTATCTCGTGAGTCCCAGTTGAAGCTTTAGAGCTTCCGTTTTTCGCGGTAGGAGGCCTCGTGGGGAGGGGACCAAGTGGGGAGTGAGAGCATCTCCCCATCCTGCTCCCCCCTTGGCGGCGGTGCCCCGGCAGGCTTCTGCGCGCCGCGCCCCTACCCCGGCCCAAGCTCCGCCCGCAGGAATTCGGGGAATGCGCGGGTGGGGGGCGGGGCGGGCGGGCCGCGTGCGTGCCGGCTCCTGCCCGGGCGCTCCAGGTACCCGCGGGCGGGGCCGGCCGCGCGGCGCGGGGCGGAGGGTGGGGTGAGGTGGGGCGGGGTGGAGGGGTGCTGCTTGCTAACACTCGCGGAGCTGTGGCCCCGGCCGGGGAAGTGGAGCCTGGGAGAGAGGGTGAAGCTCTCAGGGGACGGAAAGCAGGGACCCTGCTGTTAGCTTGTCCCGGTCATGCTGGCTTGTTGCGTGCCTGACCATTTAAGCAGAGACCTGGTGGTGGTCTCCTATTTACTCCATCCTCCGGGGGAGTCAGGGCAGAAGCCATGACCTCCTGGAAACTAGCATCCCTGGAAACTAGCATCCCTAGCAGGTTAACGACCTTGTGTAACTGCCAGAAATAACCTTTGGGCCACAACCTGCTCAGAATTCAGGCTAGAAACAGCACGTTATTTTCTGCCTCTGTTAAGGAAACCTGGTCGCTCTGTCTCCCACACGCAATTACCTTTAAGGAGTCTTTTTTTTTTTTTTAAGATTTTATTTATTTATTTGACAGCGAGAGAGAGTGAGAGAGAGAGAGAGAGAGAGAGAGAGAACACAAGCAAGGGGAATGAGAGAGGGAGCGGGGAGCCCGAGCCCGATGTGGGGCTCGATCCCAGGTCCTTGAGATCATGACGGAGCCCAAGGCAGAGGCTTAACGACTGAGCCACCCAGGCACCTTACGTTTAAGGAGTCTTGATTGATTATATGTCTCAGCTACCAGGGGATATTAGGATCTTGAAGGATCTTTTTAGCTAAGACCCACAGCCACCAATTTGTTATAGAAAGAAATGCTAATGCAGTGGGAAGAAAAACAATGGAAGGCCTTGGGCTTATCCTCTCCTTTCCCATCATTCATGTTCCTGCCTTGGACCCGGTGCCCTAGACCACCACCTCTATGGCTAGAAATGTGGACAGGGAGAGGAACCTAGCCGGGGAGGGCAGATTGAGGCAGAAGTTGAGAGGTAGCAGGGCTGCAGGCTGAAAGGGCCCTTCCTGCCCGGTTCAACCCCCATCCTCCCATCCTAAGAGAGGAAAGCCTAGAGTAGATGATGCTTTGGTTAAGGGAGACTGAGTGACAGGATCCTTTTAGCAGTTTCTTTTGGGGCCCATAAGAAGTGGCGGTTAAGCAGAAAGAAGTCTCTTTGGCCAAGCCATCAGAGTGAGAAGGAAGAAAGGAGCTTGGACAGAGTGCAATAAAAGGGCAGGGAGAACCTAGGCGTAGATATGCTGGGTTAGAGGAGGCCAGGCGGGCATGCCTGAGCAGTTTGCGCCTGTCTTCCCATAATGTCCAGGGCTTCCTAAAGAAATGGTTCTGATGGGCCCCCCTGGCATGGCGATCTTGGTTCACTCTTTTGGGCATTTTGACCCCAGAAGTAGAGGCTGCTTCTCCCCGAGAGTTAGGTTGTCTCCTCTGACAGAATTCCCAGCGTGACTGTACCCTTCTACTCTGGCCCCTAGTTAGGGGCCCTCTTCCTTGGCTACAGCCTTGCCCAGCTGCCAGAGGGTGGGAACAGGACAGGCCTGGGCCCATCAGTCACTGCAGCTGCTGCACGGGCTCCGAAGCCCCTGGGCAAAGACTGGGATGGGCCCCAGCAGGCAAGGAGTATGGCAGTGTGCCGAGGGGGAGAGGTGGGGCGGGGTGAGGCGGGCCCCGTTGGGATCTGCTCCCCAAAGACAGGCCCTAGCTCTCACTCATGGGCCTGGAATTGGGGAGTGGAGGGAGGAAAGAACACACCCAGGAGAGGCGGGTGCCAGAGCCAGGTGTATGTATTTGGCAGGGGTGGGGGGTAGGGGGCTGTCAGGGAAGAGCAGTTCAGCTCTATCCATCCCATGATAGATTTCAGGGAGACCTTAGGGATTCTGTCACCCTTCCCCCACCTTCCCGTGCAACCTCCAGACCCTGGAACACACCCTACATTCTTAGCAGCCACCTCCCCACAGGAGTCATGCTCACATGGTCCGCTCTGCCCAGGGCCCTCTGCTGAGCCATATCCTTCTTTCCATCCTTGGAAGCCTCGAGGTGTGGAGCAGTAAGAAGTCATTTTGTAGCTATATGGTAGCTCATTTTACGGATGGGGAAACTGAGGTCCCAGAGAGGCTGTCTAGGCCTGGCCTGCTTTCTCTGGGAGTCTGCTCCTGGGCCATGATGGACTGGCATCTCTCTTTGTCCTACACAGTGCAACAGGGGTCATACCCTTGACTGTTAGTCTTGTCTCCCTGACAGAATCTGCACATTTGAAAGTCAAGGATCATATCTTTGACTCTCTCCAATTTTGCACAGTATCAGACACCATATTTTTGCTAGGCACAAAATAGATGCTCAGAAAATATCTGTGGATTAATCAGTAAACAATGCTGGGTCTGCTCAGCCAAGATCTTGTCGCATCCCATTTCTTGTTCTCTCTTCCCAGGAGAGAGCCCGTGAAAGGAAGGCTGGGACTGGTGGTCCTCTGGAACAATCGGGAAAGAACAGTCCAGAAAGATCCCAAATCCCTGTTTTGAGCTGGAGGTGTGTGGGATATGATGCTGACAACCTCTTCTCTCCTCTCAGGCACCTGTATTAAGTGCAACAAAGGCATCTATGGGCAGAGCAACGCCTGCAAGGCCCTGGACAGCCTCTACCACACCCAGTGCTTTGTCTGCTGCTCCTGTGGTGAGTGTATCCCCTAGGCCTTGTGCAGGGGGCGGGCTGAGGCCTCAAGCATGCCCCACATGCATACACCTTCAGGAGTGCCTAGGGAAAGCAGAGCTTGTGCCTCTTCGGGTCTGCCCCACCCCCATGTGTCTGGATGCCCACTGTTGCCCGCCTTCCCTCCTCTGCTATACCTGGCTCTCCAGCCCCCATATTGCGTCTGCGTTCTGGAGTCAGCCCTCCCTTCCTCCATTGAGCCTCTTTTCCTCCTCTCTGTTCCTCCCTCTTTCTTCTGCTTCCTTGCTTGCCCAGCCTGGACTCCAGCCCAGCCTCGGCCTCTCCTTGGTGGGGTTTGGTCCTGGGCAGTCTGAGTTGCCTGGGGCGACAGTGAAAGACTGGAATGTGGGAAGGGTGGGGGTGGGCTGGGGGAGTGGGGAGCCATGGGGGGCGGAGAGAGGGGTTTTCTCTTGGCTGGTCAGAGTTCAGCCACCTCGCTGGAGTGCAGGCCACAGGGCCATGCCAAGCTGATGACATCACGCTCCAGGAATGCCTGCCACTGTTAGCTCAGGAGGCCCGCCTGGGTGGGGGGGTGCTTCCAGCAGCCTTAACTCCCCAGCCCTTCCCTCACCTCCCTCATTACCCCTCCCCACTGCTTGCCCACTCTTGATTCCTTTGCTAAACCTTTAATCTCTTATCTCTGCCTGTCTGACTCCAGCACTCAGCTTTTCTGTGCCCCTACTCCAGCTACCACCACCACCTTCAGCCCCCACCTCTGGCTGGTTCTCTTGGGTTCATCCATCTGTCTGTCTTGTCTATAGGGCCTTTTCTGGGTGTGTCTCTTTCCCTCTCTGTACCCCCCGCTGTGTCTCCTGAGTCTCTAAGTCAGCTTTTCCAAACTTCTGGTAGGAGGTAAAAGAGATTTTGATCAGAAGAGGGCAGAGGAGGTGGCCAACTCGCCCTTTTCTCCACCTTGGGTCTCACTCCTCCCCTCTCCCTGACAATTTAGACACCTTGGAGCAGTTCCTAAGTGTTGGTCACATGCCTTGTCAGCTCACAGAAGATCCTGGATTCTCTGGGTTTCTCTGAGCTTGGGGGAGCTGCCTTGTGCAGTGGGAAAGGGAACTGACTTTGCTCCCGAGAAGAGCACTTTGTCCCCAACAGTAATGCCAATATTTCCTGACCTCTGCTGAGCCTGTCCCTGGAAGAAGACAGACAGGGCTAGGATAGCAGGAAGGCTATACACAGGCAAAGAGGCCCCTAGGTTGAAAGGTCCCAGAGGGCAAGGCCTATAACAATGCGACCACCTCCATGGGCATTGTACAGTACCTTATTCCCAGCTCCTTTACCTTGTACCCCAGCCTGGGGTTGGCTCCCCCAACCCCCACCCCTGGGTGACTCCTTGTGCCCTGGAGAGGAAGGCATTCATTGAGGGAGGGCAGGATCTTAGAAAACTGTTGAGGCGAGAACTGGAGGAACAGCGAGCAGAGAGGGGAAGTTTGCAGGAATGAGACCAAAGTAAATTGGAATCGCATCAGATAGGATTTTTGTGTAGAGAGGGAGGACACACAGCAGTGAGGAGCACTAGCACTAAGGTCCAGATTAAATACGTCATCCTACATTGGAGAGCAGTGTTCCCGGGGCGGGGATGCCCTGTACGTGGACACTGGGATGGCTCCAGTCTCTTGTCTGTTGCTCCTAGGGCGAACTTTGCGCTGCAAGGCTTTCTACAGCGTCAATGGCTCCGTGTACTGTGAGGAAGATTATCTGGTGAGTGAGGGGTCCCCTGGGCCTGGAATTGGCTCCCATACCAGGACCTTTCTTGGTGGCCCATTGGGGTTGCACCCATCAGGTCCTTCTCTGCTTGTAATATCCTCCCTTGGTTCTTTCTTTCTCCCTAGTTTTCAGGGTTTCAGGAGGCAGCTGAGAAATGCTGTGTCTGTGGTCACTTGATCTTGGAGAAGGTAAGCAAAGTGTCTTCAACTGCGACTCTCTGTGAGGCTGAGCGACTGAGGGGTAGAACCAGGGGCTAAGTGGGTACTGAGAAAAGGGGGAGGGAGGAACTCCATCACTACGAGTGGCTTTCCTCTCATTCTTCCCCAGAGCAGCTATTTGTAGTGCCTTCCCGCTGCTGGTTGGGTCAGCACCCCTAATCCTGCCATCCACACAGCCTCTGTGATCTGGTCTCTGCCTACTCCTGCAGTCACAGCCAAGCTAGGAGTGTGGGGTCCCAGGTCTTAATCCCCTTCCTGCTACTGGCTGGGATCAGTTAGAAATCAGGGTTGTTGTTTTTCCGTAAGCAGGGGGAATAGGATTAGAGCAGTGGTCAAGCCTAGCAGATCACCTGGGAAGAAGTAAAGAAAATAACCAGTGCCTGGGTTGTCATCGGAGACTGTGATGAAAACCTCTGGGGTGAGGCCCAGGCACTGATGGGTTTTACAAGCTCCCCGGGTGAGAACCACTGGCCTGGATGCTCTCTAAGACTGTGTTCAATGTTTCTGCCTCTATTTTAAGCATCCTCTGGGCCCCTCAGATTACAGAGCATTGTTCTTGGAGGAGAGCGGGGAGTTGGAGGAGTTTGGGGGAGCTGCAGGGAGCACCACGGGTAGCTGGAGAATGAGACTGGAGGGAGACTGATTGTCTTCCCACCCCGTGAGCCAGATCCTGCAGGCCGTGGGGAAGTCCTACCACCCGGGCTGCTTCCGGTGCATCGTTTGCAACAAGTGTCTGGATGGCATCCCCTTCACTGTGGACTTCTCCAACCAGGTGTACTGCGTCACTGACTACCACAAGTGAGTCTGCCCCCTAGGGGTGTGGTGTGGGACTGGCCTCAGGGTTCCCCAGCCTCAACTCGTCTCTGCCTTCTCTTCTTCAGAAATTACGCTCCTAAGTGTGCGGCCTGCGGCCAACCCATCCTCCCCTCAGAGGTCAGTATGCTGGGGTTCTCTTGTGGGGCAGCCAGTGCTGCTGCGGGGGTGGGGACATATGGGCCCGGCTTCCCGCGGGAGGCGGTGGTGTTGAGGAATGTGCTCTGCGAAGATTCCCGTGTGACTCTGCTCTCAGGGTCACCACCCTGACCCTGACATCCGGGCCTGGACATTTCTGACAGCCTCACTGGGCCCAGGCTTCATCCTGTCTGTCCCAGTCCATAGGAGGAGACTTTTTTTTGAGGTCAAGTCAGCAGATCCCAGATGTAGGGGCTAGAAAAAGGTGGGAAGAATCCTCAGGGCTGGTAGGAAGATGTCAGCAATGATTTATTCTGTGTGTGCTACGTGTTGGCCTGGGGAGAGAATCTGAAAGCCAATAAGGAACCAGACCCTACTGGAACTCCTTGTCCCCAGCTTAGCTTACTTTACTTAGACTGCTGGCCCCTTTTCCTTCCCCACAGCTCGGAGAGGTAGGTAAGGCCAGAGCTGCTGGACAGAGGGAAAACTGTGAGAGGACAGGCCTTTCTGGAGGCAGTATCAAGGAAGGGGAGGGAGGAAAGTTCTAGTAGGATTTCCAAAGGCCATCTGAAAGCTACGGGTGATTGCAGAGAGTTCTCCCTGGAGGCCCTTGAATGATCTTCGCATTGGGCTGGGAAGGGGCCCAGAGGAGGGCAGAACTGGGGTTGTCATGCTACACTCATCCCATGGGGGCCTGCATCATTTCAGGGCTGTGAGGACATTGTGAGGGTGATATCCATGGACCGAGATTATCACTTTGAGTGCTACCACTGTGAGGTGAGTGTGAGGAGCCTGGGCTCCTGGAGGAGAATCTAGAGAGGGAATGGGGCTGGGAAGGAGGCATGTCCCTGGACTGCTCAAGTCTGTGGGAGCGGTCTACAGCGTGGAAACCAGGAAGGTGCTCCAACCCATCTCCAGTATCTCTGCCATCCTTCATCCACTCTGTCTGGTCCTGGGTGTTTAGTCCTTTCTGCCTCTGGCTTTCCCCAAGGCAAGCCTGAACTGGGGACTCCTGGTAACCACTGCAAATGGGAGTCCGCCTCATTATTTCCGCTGTAGCAGCGACACCTGCTGTCCAGCTGAGGTATTTTCTCGGGCTTCTACTCGGAGGCCATCGCCTCCAATCGACCCCACCACCTTTCTTCCAGTCTACTAGGAGGCTGGTGTGGATCAGCACAGTCTCCCAACATGTCCCAGTGCCCGGGCTGAGGTGAACTAGGTGTCCTTCTTCCCTAGGACTGCCGGATGCAGCTGAGTGATGAGGAAGGCTGCTGCTGCTTCCCTCTGGATGGGCACTTGCTCTGCCACGGCTGTCACATGCAGCGGCTCAGTACCCGACAGCCCCCTGCCAGTTATATCTGAACTGCGGTCTATGCTGCTGCCTTTGCTGCCCCTGGCAAATCCCTCTGGCCAGAGGGCCCCTCTGAGGCCAGCCAAGGCAAGGAACGCACTCCCAGGCCAGGCAGAAGAGTCCTCTGGGGAGGGCCCCAGGGGCCAGAGACCCAAAGATACAACATTCCAGATGGACTGTGGAGAAGGAAACTTCCAATTGCCATGGGGGGGCGGGTGTGACTGGCTTTCTTTCCATGTGCACAGCCTGTGCTGTAGCATATACTCAGGCATGCACAGGCAGGTTCCAGGACTTTCTAAAGGTCTGATTCTAGTCTGTTTCTCTAGTACCATTTATGCATAAGCCAAACAACGTTCTGGCTTTGGGTTACAGAAAGAGGACACTATGAACACGCCTCACTCTGGCACCCCTCACGTGGGTCAGATACGGGGTCAGCAGGTTCTTACCACAATGTTTTATCTCTGTATCTGGATGAAGAGGTGGAAACTGGACCTTATCAATGAGTTGTTTCTTGGCCACCTTCTCTCTAAGGACCAGGAAAGCTGCTCAGCCCCATGAAGGAAGGGGGGCAGCTCATGTGGACCTGCTGCCTGTGTTGCCTGTGTCTCAGGGACTCACGTGGGCCTGGGAAGGCTGGGTGGGTGGCTGTCCTGGGTTCCTCTTCTCCTCAGCTTGGGGACATGACAAGAGAGTCTTTGGGAGTAGAGGGCCAGGCAAGCCATGCAGGGAGCCTCAGGCCCAGCCACGCACCCAGGTGCAGGCGCACGGAGACTTCCAGCCCACTGTGTACACAGGCACACTCACAGACACACACTCGCTCCCTCACTCCCTTCTTCTCAGGTCACCGTCACCCACATTCCCTCACAGTCGCTCACCACTCCAGACCTGCCACCCCGCAGAGGGATCTAGAGTTCCAACCAGTGCAGCTCCCAAGCCCTGAGGTTCCAGGGAGCCAGAGGGGCAACACACTTTGACATGGTTCTAGTCCACTTGGCTAAAATTGGTCCCTTCAAGCCAATCCAAGACTTACTTACTTTCAGTTTACTTCACCAGTTTTTTGTGGTTTTTTTTTTTTGTTTTTTTTGTTTTTTTTTTTGTGGTTTTATTGAAAATCCGGGGACAGGACCTATGGGCAGAAAGAGCTGCGAAAGTTTACGTCACTTAATGACAAGTTTGCCAAAAGTGCGGTTCCCTTTGGGGTGTTTTTACAGCCATTTAGTGTTGTGTTTTTTTTATATTTTGGGTGTTCTAAAAATTTTTATCTATTCATCCAACAGTAGTTCTGAATCATTGTCAACAAAATAAATTTATCAAATTTGCAGCACTTTGTAAATGACATTTTTTCCTAAGTTTATGAAAACGTTACCTATGTTGTCTACTTTTCAGATACTTTCAAAAAAGTTTAAAGTAGCTAGCAATAAATATAATTGGCACAGACATTTTGTGTATCATTTTTTGTGTTTCTTAATATTCCTTTACAAATTAGATACCTTGGAAAAGTTAATGGAGCTCTTGTGATTTTGGTGCTTTGGCCTAACTTCTACATTCCTACTGTGAAAAATGCCCATAAATTATAAACAATTGAACAAGCATGTAGCATAATCAGTTGACTAACACTTAAAGATTACACAGACAAGAACAATAAAAAGTGAAAGCATGAGTCTACTAAATCCTTTTGAAATGCTGCAGATTTGATAAATATTTATTTGAGACTAATTGTCTCTGGGTGACTTGATTTTAGGCAAATTAATCTGTTAATCTTTGATCCTTAGTCTTCATTCTCTGTCACTTAGAGTTTCATCCTGGAAACAGTGACTTGTGGGAACAACAATCCCACATTTAGGGGGTTTCTAAGGTAGCCCGTGTCAGCCAAGCTGGGGTCGCGGAGAAGAGGCCTGTGCATGAGGGTATGATCTAGAGAAAGAGCTCACATTCATACCACTGAGTACTGGAGGGGATGCACTTTTGGGTAAGATAAATGTTCTGAAACTGGATAAGTTGGTCTACAGCTGGGATTTCTTCTTCTGAATTATTATTATTAAATAAGTGAATACAAAGACCGTGACTGGGCAGTTTTCTCACCGGGCCACTCCAGGCCTGGGAAATCCAGGCAAACACATATAACCTTATATCCACCCTTTCTTTGACTCTTGGGGGTCTTGTCCACTCCAACCCTGCGTTTCTAACTCTGACTTCAGCCTTGTATCTGTTGCTGACTGGCTGATTCCTTTCTGGGTCTATGCTCATCTATGCGAGCCCTGGAGCTTCCCAAGACTGTTCTTGCTCCCGGGGCTACTCCCTCCTTCCCAAGGAAAAACAAGTGCTAACATCTGTTGAGGACAGGCCCAGGGAGGGCAGGCCATGGAGAAGAGCAGCCCCAGCCACCCCTCATCATCACTGGCAGGCTCCCAAGTGTACCCTGCATCGCAAGAGTTTGCCTTCTTGCTGTTCACTGGGACACTGCTCGTCCTTAGTCGTGCTGTTTCATATCTATAGCTGATAGATTCCTGGGGTGCTGCAAAGGGTACAGTAATAAGTAGACCTTGTTTGGCCAACTAAGCACCTGATTTTCATCAACAGCCACTAGGCCTGAGATGGGGAAAGGGGGAAATGGAAGAATTACAGATCCATTTCGTGTTTCTAGATGAGAGTTGCAGTACGGGGTGGGGGGAGGGCAGGCTTTCACAGCCGACGTCAGCCATGTCCTCTGCTCAGCCTGTTCAGCACAGGCCTGAATGTGGTTTGTGAGGAATAAGGCTGGTGGTGGTTCTCTCTTTTTGCCTCACTCTTTAGAGACCTGTTTCCCCCTTCACCACTTGGTGCTCTCTAGGCCAGGGAAACGATAAGATTCCATTTGTAATCAAGCTGGAGACTGTCCTCAGTCAAGAAAGTAGAGAAAGCTATTTTCAGGCACGTAAAGCCAGCTGGAGGAGGTCCTTGAGACTACCTATAAAGGAGGGCTAACAAGATGGAAAGCAGAATGGTAGAACCGAGACAAAAGGATTGGGAAACCCAGTGAGCAAGAACATTTTGTTGTTTAGAAGGATCCAGACCCCAGAGTGGGGCCTGGGGTCATTTGGAGCCCTAATGTTAGGGGACTCCACAAGGACAACCCCTGTCCGCTGCCTCTGCCATGCCAACCCCTGTCCACTGCCTCTGCCATGCCAGTCATTGGTGTCGAGCTGTCGGGATATCCACACTTGGCCCTGGTTGTAAAGGACTGAGGTTGGACCTTGAAAACAAGAGCAAACTGTCACTGGGACGGATAGATTACAGCAGTCTAGCTGGTTTTTGGAGAGTCGTCCAAGGCAGATTCTGTCCACCTAGGCTTCGAAAGGACGGCACTGCCCCATGTCAAGGAAGCCAGGGAGCGATCCAAGCAGGGAGACGTGGCTTAGAACATCTGAAAGGTACAGATTCAGGTCAAATGCTACAGACTTAGAGCCGAGCAGGGTGTGACTTTAGAGAGAACCCAGTGACCTCATTTTACCAAATGAAGAAATAGTAACAGTGATAATGGCATTTACCCAAGGTCATGCAGCTGGAAAATGACTTACCCGCTTTTGAAGACTAACAGTTTATTTCCCTTCTTCCCTCCCACCCCAGCTCTCATCCTCATCACAGGGACTCCCACAGCACAAGCAAACTGTAAATTAGATCAGCCCTTCATTATGATAAATAATTAGGGAAAGTTTTAGTGGGAAAGCCAGGGAATCCAAGAGACAATAATGAAAACTTTTGGTTCTTTATAGTGTTTCCCCCACCCCTGGCCCGCTAACTTGAATTAGTAATAGTCTAAAACAGCTTTAAAAGCACACTAGGAGAAGCAAAGGATGGGGCGCCTGGGTGGCTCAGTTGGTTAAGCATCTGCCTTAGGCTCAGGTCATGATCCCAGCGTCCTGGGATCAAGTCCCACTGCTTCTCCCTCTCTCTCTGCCTGCCACTCCCCCTGCTTGTGCGCGCTCTATCTCTGTGTCAAATAAGTCAATAAAATCTTAAAACAAAAACAGGGGCGCCTGGGTGACTCAGTGGATTGATCCTCTGCCTTCGGATTGGGTCATGATCTTGGGGTCCTGGGATTGAGCCCCACATCGGGCTCTTTGCTTAGCGGGGAGCCTGCTTCCCCCCGCCTGCCCCCGCCTGCCTCTCTGCCTACTTGTGATCTCTCTCTCTGTCAAATAAATAAAATCTTTAAATTAAAAAAAAAAAAAAAAGCAAAGGAAAGACTCTGCAGGAGAGTCCCTGCCCTTGAGGAGGTCACGGTCTAGCCAGGGAGACAAGTACACACATAAAATACCTTGAGAAGATTACAAGCAACATGTCACCAAGTGCAAAGTAATTGATTGTTACAAACGAAAGACCTAATGCTTCAGGGGACCAATGACAGGGGGAGACTTTGTTGGGCTTACAATGTAGATCAGAAGGTGGCTGCCCCAAATGCATTCTTTGGCCTACTGGGAGTTATTTTTGATAATATCAATTTGAAACCTCATTGAGGAGGGGGAAAACGCCAACTAACAAATGTAGGAAGAATGACACAATTGGGAGAACAGCATTTTGTGAACTTGAATACATGACTGATCCTGGCAGAGATTACTAATTGGAGTTATGACAAGTGAAACGGTTGGTGGACAGCTGGACATTGCCGAGTAACCTCTCAGCGCATGGTCTTGGCATCACTCATTTCCTGGAACAGGTCTTGGTGTCATTAACCAGCCCACCAGTTCTGGTGTGAGGCAAACATATAACCCCACAGTGTTATATAGTCTAGCTGCTCCCCTCCCCGCAGAGAGGTGTTAGAGTTTAGAGTTTACAGGCCGTGCTGGGAACAAAGTAAAGGATGCCAAGAGGAAGCAGCTAGATGTACCTAGAAAGGGAGGCATTCTGCAGGGCCACTGGCTAACTCTCTTCAGCAAGTCAGTATGATTTTTTTCTTTTTTTTTAATTTAAATTCAATAAGCGTGTGCCTTCAGCACAGGGCTCGGGTCATGATCCCAGTGTCCTGGGATCTAGCCCCACATCGGGATCCACTCCCCCTGCTTGTGTTCCCTCTCTCGCTGTCTCTTTCTGTCCAATAGGCGGATAAAGTCTTTTTAAAAAATTAATAAATTCAATTAGCCAACATATAGTACATCATTATTTTCAGAGGTAAGTTCAGTAATTCATCAGTTGCATAGAACACCCAGTGCTCATCACGTTGCGTGCCCTCTTAATGCCCATCACCCCGTTACCGCATACCCCTACCCACCTCCCCTCCAGCAACCCTCAGCTTGTTTTCAAATCCGTATGATTTTTTTTCTTTTTAAAAGATTTTGTTTATTTATTTGACAGCAAGAGAGATCACAAGTAGGCAGAGAGGCAGGCAGGGAATGGTGGGGGAAGCAGGCTCCCTGCTGAGCAGAGAGCCCAATGCAGGGCTCAATCCCAGGACCCTGAGATCATGACCTGAGCTGAAGGCAGAGGCTTAACCTGCTGAGCCACCCAGGCGCCCCCCAAGTCTGTATGATTTTCAAAAAATGCAAAACTGCTAGATTGGAGAGACTTAAGCTATCTAATGACGATACAGTCCGTTGTCCTGGATTCCCTCTGAGTGACTCAGTCCGTTAAGCTCTGCCTTCGGCTCAGGTCTTGATCCTGGGGTCCTGGGATCGAGCACCGCACCGGGCTTCCTGCTCCTTGGGAAGCCTGTTTCTTCCTCTCCCACTCCCCCTGCTTGTGTTCCTTCTCTTGCTGTGTCTCTCTCTGTCAAATAAATAAATAAAATAAAAAAGATATTTGGAGGGGCACTTGGGTGGCTCAGTTAAGCATCTGCCTTCGGCTCAGGTAATGATCTCTGGGTCCTGGGATTGAGCCCCGTTTTGGGCTCCCTGCTCAGCAGGGAGCCTGCTTCTCCCTTTCCCTCTGCCTTCTGCTCCCCCTGCTTGTACTCTCTCTCTCTATGTCAAATAAATAAATAAAATCTGAAAAAGGAAAAAAAATATTTGGAGTCAACTGGAAATTTTTTTATATGGACAGGGGATTAGATGAAGTGAGAATTTACTGAGAT